CAATGGGACCCTGACTGCCATTAGGTATCAGGATAAAATCCTTGGACCTATTGTCAGACCCAACGCTGGTGCAGTGGGTCCTGGGTTCCTCCTGGTGCGTGACAATACTCGACCTCGTGGCAAGAGTATGCAAGCAATTCCTGGAGGATGAAGGAATTGATACTATTGAATGGCCCCCACACTTGCCTGACTTAAATCCAATAGAACACCTCTGGGATATCATATTTCAGTTCCATCATCCGTCGTCTTATTAGGAGCATGCCCTGATGTTGTCAGGCATGCATACAAGCACTTGGGGCCATACAAACTGCTGAGTACCATTTTGAGTTACTACAATGAAATTTCAGCAAAATGGACAAGCCTGCTGCATCATTTTTTCACTTTGATTTTCAGGGTGTCTTTAAATTCAGTCCTCTGTAGGGTGATAATTTTCATTAGACGATGAGGCATCCTTACGTTTTGTGTTTTCAAAGTGTTCTTTTAATTTTTTTGAGCAGTGTATGATGATGGATTTTATTTCTCAAGGCAAGTATAACAGTGGCACTCAAAAAAAAAAAAAAAAAAAAAAGTTTTAAGCTCACCACACTGCATATATGTAATATGAGGTCCTATCTAAACTATGCAATCAATTGTATCCAGGCTGACTCTTGTATTACATAGTTGGTAGGAGATTGTACGGTCAGGTGTGAACTTTACACCATCTGTAGCACTAATTTTACCAAGATTTATATGTTGACAGTTAATTCCAGCAGGGCTTGACAAATTTGCTTTGAATCTAGGAGCCAAATAAAGTTAGGAGACAGTTTTTTTTTTTTTTTACTAACGGCTTTATTTTTGATGACGGAGATAGCAGATTCTGAATTTGCGCATGGGGGGATTGGAGCCAAGGTTTTTGGGGGCTGAGGTTTTTGATGTGTGTGTGGCATGCTGTGTGGGCTGCACTCTGCCTGCCTTAAGCGCCACGTGTGGGGACTAGCGGCCAGGAGGAGGGGTGAGCCACAGTATGCACAGATTAGCTGGTGTCGAGGGAGAAGGGAGTGTGGAAGAGGCTTTTTTCACATCGGTGGTGGATCTGCTGGGGGAGGGTGCACAGGAGTGCTAGTGTGTTTGAGAGGAAGAGAGAAACTTTGGTTCTGCTGTGGGTAAGCAGCACAGCTCGAGGGTTTTTTTTTTGTTTTTGGATGTCTGAGCTGGATCAGCTGCCTGGTGCCTGAAGCTGCATGCCTGGGGCGACGGCCAGTGGGAGTTGCTCGAGCCTGGTGCCGGCGGTGAGTGGGCTGGTGGAAGCCCAGGTGTAGGGAAATGAATTCTAGTTGCCATAGCGACGAGGGATTTGTCAGTCAAGCCTTGCCACCGCCACCCACCCCATATACCCTGGTTCTCCCCCCCTCCCTCTGTATACACGGTTGTCTTGTCCTGTCCTTCTCCTCTATATAAATGCCCCAGGTGTGGTCCTCATCCCTGTATACATCAAGGGTCTGGAGACACGGACACACACACCTCGGTCTCTTATCCAGGTGAACTTAAAAGCCCAGGCAAGTCCTCCACCAGAACACCTTCACCACAATGGGCTCCTGCAGGGAGTACTACCAGTCCGCCTGCTCCGTAAGATGGAGGCCATACAGGGTGGTACACAGGCCACCGGGTCCCCACCGACTCCTTTGCCTCCTGCACCAGGTGAGCTCCAGGGGGAGGAAGGCCAGCTTGGAGGCGATGTGGCTCGGGCACGGCGGCCAGCAGAAGAGCCAAACAGAGCTCCCCCAGGAAGAAGCCATTCATCCTCAGACCATGCTCGGCCACAGGGGATAGCGGCCGCCTGAGAAGAGAGAGCCTGGCCTCCCAAATATGTCACACGGAGCCCGACATCGGACTCCAGCAAAGCCTACTGCCTGCTTCCAGGGAAACTATGGAGACCAGCAGGGGGGAGAGAAAGATTGGTTTCCCTGTGTCCAGAGTTGCATGTCCAGGGCGTAGGGAAGTAGGAGTTGCCGGCGGCGAGTGGGCTGATTGGTGCCCAGGCGCCAGGCCGAAATTTCTGGTCGCCATGGCAACCTGGTGCCTGGGATTTGTTGAGCCCTGAATTCCAGTATATGAAAATTTTGCATTTAAATAGCTCTGTAAAGCACTATTTCTTCATCAACCAGTAATAAAAAAAACCTCAGAAAACCAAAATTTAGAGTTTTTGTTGGTCCTCATGCCCCTAACAATCAGACACATGAAAGATATAAAAAATGTAAATCTATGTCTTGCCCCTCTTTCAACTTAAAGCCTCACAGCGGAGTTTGACAGGTACACAAAGACAGGTATACGGCCCCAAACATGAACAGTGTTGTTCGGGGCTACGTGAGCACACACCCCTGTACACCTGCCAAACTCATTTTTGTCCATACAGCTGCTGCATGTCCATTTGTTAACATAGGCTGCCTGAATGCAGCTCCAGGGACCTCCAAAAGTGTATACAAATGGCTCACTCTGTATGGGCCTCACCACCCATGCAAATGAAGCCTCTAATTATATTTACCTATGATAATGGTAGGGACAAGCATTGCTTCCAGTGGCTCCAAATGTTCTTGGAGCAAGGTGGGCATAGATGACATGTCCCCGTCAGATCTGTACTGCCTGAAGATGGGAAGCAGTTAGCCAATGCAGCCCATGACATTTAAAGACAGGAAGATGAAAGGGCATCCCTGAAGTGAAGATTTTTCCAGTTGCCTGCACAATGTGGGACATGCTTCAATACAAGTGAAAAAAATTAAAAGTGTAAAGCTTTTTTTTTTTTTTTTTTAAAGCTAAACTGCAGCTTTAACATGTATGTTACCCCAGCATATCCTGTTCTCTTTCATTGCTTACTTTGTGTGAAATACCTGGTGATCCTACCAGTCCCTGCACTTATGTTTTAAACTGGCATGGCATGGAAGCACATCCATCTCAGCATGCTCAATTTGCTTCTTTACATTCTACTTAGGCGTACTACAGTGGTCAGACTTGTGCTGACATGCCCCCCTTGCATAGCTTTAACGCAACATCCATTAATATTCATTTGTTGACGCGCTGCAATGCAGCAGAAAAACAGTAAATGGGACTTTGAAAGAAAAAAAAAAAAAATCCCTCACGAATCATAGCAGTTGCAGTCAACATGTAGTTAATCATCAAAATTCTGGGGGGGAAAAAAAAAAAAATATTACTTTCACTTTCCCCTCTTGATCATGTTGTTCCCCCTGCCAGCAGTAAGTTGGCGGCCTTCTAAACATCAATTATTTCACTGGATCCTTTGTGAATTTTGACTATGAATTGCTCTAGTGTAACGCTAGAGAGGTCAATAAGGGCTCCTTTTAAAGCTTATTTACAGTTTGTGAATTAGTAAATACTGAAATGTACATTGTCAGGTCACAGTTCTGCTTTAACCAATTGACCAGAAGGTTTTACCCCCTTCATGACCAGACCATTTTTTGCTATTCAGCACTGCACTACTTTACCTGGCAATTGTGCGGTCATGCAACACTGTGTGGAAAAAAATTTGAATTTCATTTGCGTACAAATAGCGCTTTCTTTGGTGGTATTTGATCACCATTGGGCTTTAAAATAAATGTTATTATATAAAACAAAAAAACTGAAAATTTTGGGGGACAAAAAATTTATATTTTCTCATTTCTGTTGTAAAACATATCCAGTAAAAATTTTTTTAAATCAAATTTATTCATAAATTGAGGCCAAAATGTATTCTGCTACAAGTCTATGTAATAAGTGTATGTTACTGGTTTGTGCAAAAATTATAGTGTCTACAAACTATGGTATATATACTGAATTTACACAGCTATAAACGCTATACTGTAATGGTGGTCATCAGTGACTTATAGTGGTGCTAACAGACACTATCTGGGAAGGTCACTAGTAAACAATGACGTTACTAATGACACTAATACAGTGAATACACTGTACTGACACTGGCTGGGAAGGGGTAACATCTAGTGGCAATTAAAGGGTTAACTGTGTTATTAACAATGTGTAATGTGTGCTGCTTCTACTTTACTATCTGGCTGTTTTTTCTCCCTGCTTTGCAGGGAGAAAAAACAGCCAGATCGTAGTTCCCTATACACAGAATTCTGTGTTTTTGTAAACAAAGAACTCTGTGTGTGATTGGAATCAGCTGACTTCAGCCCAAATCATTGGCTGAAATCAGCTTTCAAATTTGTGCTGAGTCCAATCACAGCATGAGTTGGCATGGACGTGGGCAACACTGGACCCAGAAGAATCAGCCAATGTACAGGTGTGTGATTGTGCTTGCACTTGCCACCCGCCTAAATGAGTTTCTAAAGAATATTGGTACTGGCACTCAGCAAGTGCTGCTGTTTGCTTAATTTGCCAGTTCAATATAAATTGTAGTACTTTATATTTTACAAATGGACCTGAATCAGTCTACAAAAAAACAGAACTGTTTATTTCTGACCTTAGCATAATGTTAACAGCACCATTTGTTTTCTCACTTTACTGAGGACACAGTTTTCAATTTTCTAATAATGCTTTCTTTTAAACACTTAATAAAATTAGGTCCTGGTTAGCATTTATCAACATAATTTTTAACTCGTAGATGAAATTATTCCTTATAACGAAGGACAGATAGTTTTACAACAACAAGGATATTCTGGGTCCACAAGAAGAAAAAAATAAAAACATTTATAGTGGAAATTTATTACTTGCTCAGATATTCCTTTTTAAATTAACAAAAACTCCACGACCCCTCACTTATTATACTATATGGGGTCCTGTTTGCATTAGTCGTTGCACTGCTATCTGGAATCCACAAGACCACGAAGTTGAAAGTTACAGCAACTGGAACTGTCCTTCGCAACATCTATAAGTGCACCACATATTCCACAATAAAAGGTTGAAAATTTAGAGTAAATATACAGAGTGGAAATTCTTCTGTAACCAGAGTTCCTCAGAAATAAAGACAATACATGTTCTTGCTGGCCAGTCACAATCTGCACAGTGATCCTATTTCAGCGACGTTTCTTGAACCCTGTAAAGAGTGTTGAGAGAAGTAAGTTGCACAGCTGAGAATAATCAGATCAACAGACAACAAACTCACCTATAGAAATACAAAGTGCCACAATGAAAACATACTGCTCAAGCAAAGGAAGTTACCTTTCTTCTTCTTTCCTTTCTTTAGTCCTTTTCTTGATTTCTTGACTGAGGGGATAAGGTCCTATATCAAAAAGACATTAGAAGAGCATTTAGTGTATATTTAAAGCAACTTACTAGCAACAAATAAAAGTTTAAAAGAGAAGTTCACCGTTTGAAAAAAAAAATGCACGTTTTTGAGGGTAATTAACCACTTGCCTGCCGGGAAATTATACCCCCTTCCTGCTCAGGCCAATATTCAGCTTTCACCGCTGTCACACTTCGAATGACAATTGTGTAGTTATGCAACACTGTACCCATAGAAAATTTTTATCATTTTTTTCACACAGTTTTCTTTTGGTGGTATTTAATTACCACTGAGCGTTTTTTGAGCTATAAACAAAAAAAGAGCAAACAATTTTAAAAATAGAGTTTTTCTTTGTTTCTATTATAAAATTTTGCAAACAGGTAATTTTTCTCCTTCACTGATGTGCATTGATGAGGCTGCACTGATAGGCAGCACTGATGAGGTGGCACGAATAGGCAGCACTGATGGGCAGTGCTAGGCGGCACTGATGATGCTGCACTGATATGCAGCAATTATGGGCACTGATAGGCGGCACTGCTGGGCACAGGTGGGTGGCACTGCTGGGCACTGATCATCAGTGCCAATCTGTTCTCTGACAATTGCTGGTTATCGGCAGTACTTTCCTCACGCTGTGACATCGTGAGGAAAGTGTAGCCGATAACCGGCAACTGTATTTACCCGGTGATCTTCTGTGTCATTGGACACAACTGATCATGTGGTAAAAGGCCGCTATGATTTGCCGTTTACCACACCACATGATCAGCTGTGTCCGTAGGACACAGCGATCATGGAGATCGCTGGGTGCGTGCTGCTGGGGACGTGCGTTCTGGGAGGACGTCATATGATGCCCTCCCAGAACTGGACAACCGTGCTGCAGCTGTCATTCGGCTATAGCGCGGTTGGCAAGTGGTTAAAAACATTTAAAGCAGAACTGCACTGCATCTGAGCACCACAAACCAAAAATGCTATTTAATTTGCTTTTAAATTCAAAGCAAACTCATCAATACATCCATGTCTCCATGCTTTATTTTGCTAAAAATTCACTTTGAAAAACAAACACTTTCTAGCGTTTCTGGCCATGGCCAACTTAAGTAAGAGTATTTGATTCATGTAGCATTTACTTCCTGAAATCCATCTGATCTTAGCTCAGGCATGCATACAGGAGGTGTGCTTAGCTGAGTAACCCCTCCTCCCCTCCTAAAGATTTCTGGGATGTGTGAGATCATTTGCCTAAGCCTGGAAACCAGGAAGTAACTGAAGAAATGTAAACAAAAATTCAACATACGATAATATAATATATTTTTCTATTTACTAATGCCAGCAGCACACTGATTAAAAATAATCAAGTTCCACTTTATTATGTTTTTCTCAGAAGCCTGCAGAGCATTGCACCCATAACCAGTGGATTGTAGGTGCAATCTCAGGCTCCTGCAGATGTTACAGCTTTCTGCACATACCTCTGTACAGGATTTCTATTAAAAAACTGTGGAAGTGTCAAACTCTTGGTGGCAGACAGTACATGTAGTTCTCTCATTTACAGATTCCAGTGAATAAATGACGCGGTTTTTGAAATCTGGCAGTAGGTATAGGGAAAGGATCCCTCGCCCGCTGTCACAAGGGTAAGGATACGAGGTCATGGAACATTCTAAATATGGGTGTAAGATGCTACAGAAGATGAATTTAGCCTTTACGATTTAGATTCAATCTTTTTTCTTACATGTATGATTCAGCAAGAGAGCTTAACAAGTGCAAGGCACAGTCTCCTAGTGTACACAAACCAGCACATTTATTCATACAATTGCTAACACATGCTCAGCACCCTTTTACATAAGTTTTTAAAATGCAATGCAGCACAAGGGATGCTCCTTAAAAGGAGAGGTGCACTTTAAAAAATTACTTCAACCTCCCCCCTCCCCACCCCATTCTAATCTTCAAGAAGCCCTAAAAGGAAAAGGACATTAAAAGATTTATTGCTGCTTTGGAAGAGGGAATGAAATCCTAACTATAACTGTTCTTATTTTCTTTGAAAAACAGCATCATATACATGCACATCTCATTTTACCTTATTAGTCCATAAAAACAATAAAACACACTAACTCTAACTTTACTTAATAAGTGTTTGGTGACACACTGTAAATGTATTCCACAAAATGAAATACTAATACTCGGTTCTTCTTAGTACCAAGAACTCTGCATGTTCCTCATCTCACCTCGGTCCTGGTATCTCCTCCAGTGAGGGCACTGATGTCTGTGAAGTGTGTAAGAGAATTGAGCTGGGAGGTCATGGCAAGTGTTCTCTTCTTACGAGCCTTTTCTTTTCTTGTCAGATTCAGTCGTACCATCATGGACTCTTCATAATTTGTACTTAGGAAAGGAAAAGAAATCAACGATTAATTTTTTTTATTGTGGTTTTTATTTATGCAAAAGCCAACAACGTTTTCCACCATTTCTGCAATGCCAACTATATGTGCAGACAGTAGCCTACACATGCTACTGACCGATGCTGCTCCTCTTTTTCATGAGTCATCATATGATAAGCTCGGCCTTCTCTGATCTCTTCTGGGGCATCAGTGTACTGTTCTTTCAGTTCCCGAATTACAGAACTGCTGAGAGCTCGTTTCTTGGCCCGCTCTAAGATCCTGCGCTCCCGCTCTGCCTCGGTGTCATCTGTAAGATGGTTTTAAGTCAGGGCATAGAAAAACTTTTTTCCCCAGGATTACATTAAAGGATAAGTTCACCTTTTATGAAAAATAATAAATGTAACTTTTTTTGCAGGTTAAAAAATTATTATTTTTTTTTTTAAACAATGCTGTAAAGCAATGCACCCGCGATCAGCTGTTTGCGGGTGAGTCTGCCAGGCTCCTGCAGACTCTGTCAGCTGTCTGATTTTCCCTTCCCGTATGGGCAGATAGTTACTAAATTGCAGGAAGAATCAACGAACTACGAGAGTGCTAACCAGCACCGTCGTAGGTCATTGAGAACTTGTAGTTCATTCATTCCCAGAACACTGTAAATGAATGATGTGGCAGTGTGGGAGGAGCCCTGCACAGCCGTGCTGTTTTTGAATTGTGACAGGAGGTGCAGGGAGAGGATTCCTCCACCTGCTGTCACAGCAGGGGGGAGAAGAGGAATTTGCTGGAACATGATACATGTTCCACCCTAAATACGAGTGGAATACATAATATGTTTGAAAGGCGAACTTATCCTTTTAAGACCATACAAAATCTTTTTTTTTCTTACCATAATGAACTGGTGCAAGTCGTGGGGGCACATATTTTTTCACCCTGCCCTGGGACTTCTTGCCTTCCCCACCTGCATCTTCGTCGCTTCCTGAGTCTCCCTGATCAGACTCCTCCAACTGCAGTTGTGGAAAAATGAGAAACAAAAAAGCAATCACTAAATGTATTCAATTGAAGAAAGGAGGAAGCAGTATTGCATGTGTCCACAGGTAAAAGCATCCTAACCTCACCTTGCTCATCAAATTCTGAGGATTGGGTTTGAAACGCAAAGGATCGTTCTCACCAAGGCTTCCTGTCACAGCAGCTCTCACCAACTTATCGATTTGATGGTATTTTAGTTTTTGATCAACAGGACGCATTTTCTCCAACACCTATGAAATACAGAGGCCTCTAAACGCCTTCTCTGAAAGTACTCAGTAAAACACTGAATATCATGCAATTTTTACAAACATGTTTGAAATGCAAAGCTGACAATTTGTTAACATGCTGTAAACCTAGAATTCCACAGAAAGCATGCAAAGAATTGTTCTTGTCATTTTTTAAATACACCCATTTTTAAATACACCAAGAAGACTCAAAGCTTGCAATGGATGTGTTTATGTGGATTCATGCAGGTTAGCACTACAAAATGGAATCACTGTTTAACCACTGAAAGACCAGTCAATGTGCCCTTACCATGGCTGTTACCAACTTGAAGTTTGCAGTAGCCCTGGTTACAGTAAATATGTTGTGACTACCTCTTCCCCAAGATAGTGACTGCTGTTGTTCATCAGTGATTAACTGACTATGGGATGGTGCAAAAGGTCTGCTATGTCATAAAAAAAAAAAAAAAAAAACTGTGTCCCTCTGCTTTTCACAGTCAAGTAGTTGAAAAAGAAGGACTGCTACAAAGCATCTAAAATAAACATTTAAATTCTTTTGACTGTAAACATCCCTTTTATGAAAACAACCATATGATGAAGGTATAAAACTACAGTATTACTTTCTTTAAACCATCTTCACCCATTAAATATTGTGCCATTATTTAAAAATGCACCCAAAATGCATTTGCATTGAACAGCGATGTGGGCATTTTTGCGATTTCCACACAGATTTGAAGTGACACCCTGTTAAAGGTTACAATACTATGGAGCTTACTTTCTTGAAAACTCTTTTCCAGCTTAAGCTTATCATTTAGGTTAGAAGAAAGTATATTTGATGGTTACATAGCATGTAATGATTCTGAATGGATTTTAAAAAGTCTTTGTTGTATAGCATAGCAATGACAGTCCGCCTCACCATTAAAACAGACATAACCATAACACAGACTCAACCATAGAAATGATACCACAACAGCATAGGTCTTCAAGCCATGCAAGCCATTTAAGCTAAAAAGTTCTGTTCAATAAAACTGGTGACCCTTCACATGGACCCCATGTGACAAAACAAAAAAATGCATCATGCAATTTGATAAATCATATTCTTTGCCGACTCACTGTGCGCATTTCCACCAGCCTCATGATGGCTGGATTCTCTTTTAGGGATTTCCCATGAATCTTTTCCATTATAAGGTATGTAAGATCCTGCATATACATCACAAGCATCTGATCTTTCAATTCCAGGAAGCTCAGACCCTGCAAAGTAATTCAATATGTAAGTATACAGCTGCAAAATCACTGCTGTTCACACAGCCACAATAAGGAAACATTTCGTATGACTCATGAGTCAGAAGTATTACACAGATTATAGCTACCATTATCTAGCTATGGCTAATATCTCCACTTTCTACTTTGCTACGCAAGACCCTTCACACTAAAATAAAATATAACTTGTTTCTAGTATCATTGGTGATTTTTTTCTCTTTTACCAAGTGATGACTGCATCTGCAAGACATGTGCCAGAAGGAACTATCATAATGTGTATGACATGATGTGGGAAATGTCACAATCTGGCCTGACATTTTAGCTGAAGAAGTGATATCATCCCCACGGCTTGGTTCACACCTGTGCAACCATGCAGGCCGCAATTTGCGTGGGCACGGGAGCCCATTCATTTCAAAGGGATGCCGTGCCCTGGGACACTCAGGAAAGACGTTCCTGCATGATTTTTTAAATCACAGTCCACACGGGAACCGCGGTTGACAGTACAGTTGCGATTTCAAGTTATTTAGGATTAATGACAGCAGCCCGTGGGTCCCGCATTTGTGACGGTGGTTGCGGCTGCTGTTATATGTGCGGGTCCTCTAGCAGCACCACACGCACAGATGAGAATCTAGCCTAAAAATACAAAAAGAATTCTACCTAAAGTAATCTTCCCAAGGACCAATTTTTAGATGAAATACTACATCTGACTGAAAAAATTAGCAAATTTTCTTCAACTTAATTTATATAGAAAGTAATTTCTTCTCTCTCACTTTTTCCGTTGGGTACGTTCCATTGCGAATCTTCTGTATTAAGCTCTGCACATGTGTTGTGACAGAAGTGATCTGTAATAGGAACAAACAATTTAAATGACAAAGCATAAACCTAAAAGAAGCCTGTGGGAAAAGATACAGTATCAAATAAATTATTGCTGATAATGAGAAATATTTTTCTCAAGTATATTACCTGCTGATGCAATGTTCCAATCAAAGTTGTCGCTGCGGACAGATCTCTGGAAACTATATCCTAGAAAAAAAATGTTTAAATTTAAGCCCCACCACTTTCTGAGCAAAATTCAATGTTGCAAAAGAGGACCTATACTCCACAATAAAGCCAATATGTAATAAACTGTAGAAGATGTTATACTATAAAAGACTGGACCCCCAACCCCGCTTCATGGTCATAAGTTTGCTATGGTTTCCAGATAGATGTATACTAAAGGTATGGTGTCATTGAGCTTCCTTGCTTTGGACAGGCTGGACAAAAAATGAGGAAGAAAGAAATTTCTTTGTATTAATTTTTACAATCGCAAATTTGCCAGAACAATCTGTAGTATTTTTGGCTATACTGTGGGGTCACTTATGGAATGGAGCCATTTAGATTTCAAATCCACCTCAACATGATATACATACAAGTAAATTGCTGCACTCAAATGTCACAACTAAGGCAACCATATAAGTCAGGGGTGGGCAATTGTGGCCCTCCAGCTGTTGGTGAACTACAAGTCCCATCATGCCTCTGCCTTTGGGAGTCATGCTTATAACTGTCAGTTTTGCAATGCCTCATTGGACTTGTAGTTCTACAACAGCTAGAGGGCCACAGTTGCCCACCCCTGATATAAGTGATAATATAAATAAGTCCAAATGTGAAAATAGTCCCAGTGTATTGAACGATGCAATAGATCACCCCGTGTCTCCAATATGATTAGTGCTCCACCACCAGAAAATGATAGGACTCTTACCCAAACATATGGACCCTTATACAAGAGTCGCAAACGCTTGTACCCTGGACGTCTACACGCTGCTTTCTAACACCAGGAAGTGTACCTGTTCCCAGGATCTGAGAATGCTCTGTACACAGTGCTGATCTGTTTATCTGAATGTGAGTGCAATACTTAGTCAATAAACGTGTTTTATAGTTTTATGCGATGGTCACCCCTTTGTCTTTCTCTGCACGGTCATACTGAGAGGTATAATTGTGAGATTAACAATGGAGAGGAATTTAAGGCGATATTTCCATCCAGTACCATACTTCCTCCAATTCTGAGGGATTCGGTGGATATATTCTCATGCGTATGCGACTCTTGTATAAGGGTCCATGTTCAGGTAAGAGTCCTACCATTTTCTGGTGGTGGAGCACTAATCATAGTGAAGATACGTGGTGATCTAATGCATGGTTCAATACACTGGGACTATTTTCACATTTGGACTTATTTATATTATCACTTATATGGTTGCCTTAGATGCGACATTTGAGCGCGGCAATTTATTTAGAATATTTGTATACAATTGACCTGATTGTCTTGCCAGCAGCTTTTTTCATTTATTCACTATTTGCGCAGCTTTTTTTGTTTCTTTTTGTTCTTTGATGATACACATAAAGACACAGCTTTAATATATTCCTGCTTTTAGGAAAGAAAAAAAGAGCCAAATTGTACATTTCAATTACTGAAGTGGAACACTTCTACTCTACATAAATGAATGCTACACTTTTTAGAATAATTTAATTACCCATCATTTTCATTGATTAAATTTGCAAAATAATTAGGAAAATTGATTAGTATTTTAAAGGGTTGATTTATAATATATATTTATAAATATATAAGACTTATTGTATGGGTTATTTAATAGATTTCTGCATACACCAATTAAAGAGGTTTCCTACTGATTTGAGGATAGGTTAATTACTGTAATTTTTGGGGGGAGGGGATAATTGTCTGCTTTTTAGGTTAACCTCACATAAATCTGTGTGCATCACTTAGATTCCCAGATTAGAAGAGATTCTGTTGCCAGAATAAAAATGAAAACCCAAGTCTCCTCTAAAGATGATGGTAAACGCTGCCCTCACCCACCGCTGACCTCCACTGTATTCAACGCTCTTCAATACAGTAGAGCTTGGTGGCACAGACAGGGAAAGGTGAATATTTATCACCTCCCTTTAACAGAAAACATTAGTTTACATTTTTATTTTAGGTGTCAGTCGCACTGAAGTAAAGTTTGCGTTAAAGCTGTCCTTTCCCTGAAAGGCACCATCTGCTCAACACATTAAAGTCATAGTAAAGGCTCCTGAGATTTTTTTTCTTTCAAAATATTAAACACGTTATACCTACCTGCTCTGTGCAATGGTTTTGCACAGAGTGCCCCCATAATCCTGAGCCATGTTACGTGCATCAATAGACACACAGTGCAGCTCAGATCTGCTCCCCCTCACTGAATTTGACTAACAGCAGCAGGAGCCAAAGTATTCCACTGATGCCTGTCAGTCTCTGTGTTAAGAGAAAAAGAGGAGAGAAGCTTGCAGCCAGGCACAGCACTGGATCAAGTCGGAACTGAGAAAAGAGTTTACAGGGGGAGGAAGGAACAAGTCCTAAAACATTTTTTCCTTAATACAGGGAATACATTAAGGTACAAAAATGTTTTCACTTTGGAACCACTTTAAACCCCTCTACATCATATGAAAATGTGTTGTGATTAAAAAACAAAAATGCTGTGGGGAAAAATAAAGTCAGAAAAATAAAATACTTACCTTATACTATGCACCTAGGGAAGAGTGGCATCTCAATCTTTTTTGGGAGTTCCTGGATTTAGCATCCCAAATCTTGCCATGCAATATGCTGCCTTTTGCTGCAAGGTCCTATTAAAAGTCACTCTCTCCTTCAGCATATAGTCACTTTTCTGTCGCTCCCCTGCCCATACTTAAAGAAAGACTGAGTGTGGGCCCAGCACTATCACAAGAGGCAGGGAAACAGCCTTTTGGAAACTCCAAACTGAGCAATGACGTGGGTTAAAAAGGGGAAGGGGAGGCTTAACCACCTATTTTTATCACCCCCTACCCTTGGCTGCAAGAGTATACAAACCCTTACGTTTGCTAAAACACTGTATCCTAAACAGTGGTCTTTTTCTTTTATTAATGTGTTACTAAACCCCCAGCAGTCTGTATATGTGGTACAGCATGCTTGTTATATTCACTGTGGAACCTAACAGGTTAATCCTCTCCATTGTGTAAAAAGGCTGTTTTATCCTGTCTTCTCTGATCCTCCCCTTCTACTGTCCCCAATCCATCTGCTGATAGAAAAGCGCCTTGGGGGCAAGCTGCACATGCTCAGTTTGGTGTGCATCGCTAGAGTTTCTTGTTGGGAGGGTGCATATGATCGGCACAGTCCAAACGCAGGGTCAGGGGTCCTGCAGCCTCATAGGACAGTCACGGGAGAAAGAAAACCCCTCCTACAAGCTTTAACCAGTGCTCAGCCAGACACTGATAGAGGTCACAAGACTGCTATATACTGCAGATATGAAAAGGTATTAAGCAGTTTATATTTACTAAAATAATTGGATTTTTTCTATATACTTACCTGTAAAATCCATTTCTTAGAGTACAGCATGGGACACAGAGCAGGCTATTCATGACTATGTGGGTTATATGCCACCTATAGGTAAACAGACACTGGCCGACCAATCAGAGAGGAAGTCCTCCCCTATATAACCCCTCCTACACAGGAAGTACTTCAGTTTTTGTAGCAAGCATTGCAATTCCAGAAAGTGATGTACTCCAAGAAATTGATTTTTACAGGTATGTATGCAGGAAAAACCCAATTTTCTTTATCGTATATCACATGACACAGAGCATGCCATTCATGAGTATGTGGGATGTCTGAAAATAATAAAAAAATCTCGAGGGTAAAGTGACACCATGATAGCTACCGCCAACAATACCACAAGACCTATTCAGCAGTCCTCAAGACGCTGTGGCCAAAGGCAAAGTCCTCTGCAGCTCTCACATCCACCTGGTAGAACCTTGTGAACATGTGAACTGAAGCTCATGTAGCGGCCTTGCAAATCTGAGCAAATGATGCCTGATGGCAGATCGCCCAAGATGTCCCCACACTCCTGGTAGAGTGTGCTCTCACCAGAAAGGGTGGGACCTTACTCTTCAAGCCATAGACTTAAATGATCAACTGAAAGATCCAATGTGAAATAGTTGCTTTGGATGCCGCCTGCCCCCTCCTGGGCTCACCAGGCGGCACAAAAAGAGCATCCGATTTCCTGACCTGTGCCGTCAATTTATGGAAGACCCTTATAGTGCGTACCATATGCAAGGTATTTAAGGATCTTTCTCTTCCTGAAAGAGGCTCAGGAAAGAGTGAAGGCAAAGCAATGTCCTGACCGAGATGAAAACTAGAAACCACCTTTGGTTAAAAAAAAAAAAAAAATATGGATGGTTGAGGTCACACCACCACCTTATCCTGATGCAGAACCAGGAAAGGTTCTTTACCAAAAAGAGCTGACAGCTCCGATAACCTTGCAGAAATGATTGCCCCTAGAAACAAAAGCCAGAAGGACAGAAGCCAACAGGACTAGCAAAATCTCCAAAATGGGCTCAGACAGTGGTCTCTGCAAAACCTCCAAGACCAAGTTCAAGTCCCAAGGACATAAAGGTAGCCTAAGAGACGAAGCTAAATGCATTACTCCTTGCAAAAAGGTATGAACTAGAGAGTGAGATGCAATGGCCTCTAGAAAATGCTGAAACCTGGCCTGTAACCTGTGTTATATTCTGCACAAATTATAAATCAAGGAGTGAGAAACAACGGTTTCTGGGGAAAAAAAATGGAGCCGAAATATGACCCTAAATGGCATTTAAGGTCAATTCCATTTCTCCTCCTGATAGGAAAAACGGAAATAAATCTTTTAATCACACATTTCTGAGGATTTGCCACTACCTGGCTTCACCCCAGGCAAGTCAGATTTCCAGGTCCTGTAATGGGAGCTCCCTGAAGCCGGCTTCCTGGTGGTCAACACCAGACCTGGGCTTAATATAGTCAAGCCTTCAATCCTAGCAACCTTGAAGCAAGATACATTGTTAGAGCCAAGATAATAGGTCTGGGTGGACTGGAAGGAACGTCCCCTGCCAAATACACCACGTTGGTGTAGCAAGGCCTCCTGGGCTAGGCCGGGCTACCACTATTATCAATGTTACCTCCTCCCAGATCCTGCGCAAAGGACATGGCAATAGTTGAATCGGGGGGAAGAGACTAGTGGGAACTGGTCCCTAAGGAATTACCAGTGCATCTACCCCTAATGCCAATGGGACAACCAACCTGGACACAACCCAACTCCACCATCAGGAATAGCTGCAAACCCAGATACACCTGACATCAGTTGGTCTATAGTGACATGCAAACACTGCCAGATTACCCTCCCCAAGTCCAATGGAACTGAGGGCGGCTCATCTGCGTCTCGGCTGCCTCTCCTTCTGGGGCCCTTTAAGTCAGTCAATGATGTAGCAACTATATTGTCACCTAACTATGAAGTCCCACAGGGATGCAGGATCATAGCAATGTTAGTCTATAGTTAAGCAATCACGCAGACAAGCAAGCCTGCAGCCGCGCAGCTCCACAGGTATGTAAGTATGCAGATTATACAATACTTAGTTCACACAAGTACACTTGTAACTATGCAATCTAAGGCTCCATGCACACTGGGCATTTTAATAACACTGGTAGTGCTAGCTGTGTAAAGTCACGTTAAAAACTTGAGTTATTGTAGCAGTTTTGCATTAGCGTTTAGCCGCGTTTGCGGCTTTTAGCGGGTTTTTTACACTCCCCCCCCCCCCCCCCCCCCCCCCAAGTACAAATATGCAGTTTATGCAAGAACGCATTTAAGAATGCATGTACGTATGTAGTTTATGCATATTAGTATGCAGCTTATGTATGCATGTACCTATACAGTTTTATGCAATTCAGTATGCATGTCTGAATGCAATTTATGCATTAGATATGCATGTCTGAATGCAGTTGGAATCACAGTCCAGACCTAAATCCAAATGAGGATCTGAGGCAAGACTTGAAAATTGCTGTTCACCAACGCTCTCCATCCAATCTGACAGAACTTGAGATATTTTGCAAAGAAGAATGGGCAAAAATGTCACTCTCCAGATGTGCAAAGCTGGTAGAGACATACCCAAAAAGACTTGCAACTGTAATTGCAGCGAAAGGTGGTTCTACAAAGTATTGACTCAGGGGGGCCGAATACAAATGCACGACACACTTTTCAGATATTTATTAGTAAACAATTTTGAAAATCATTTATCATTTTCCTTCCACTTCACAATTATGTGCCACTTTGTGTTGGTCTATCACATAAAATCCCAATAAAATACGTTTATGTTTTTGGTTGTAACATGACAAAATGTGGAAAATTTCACGGGGTATGAATACTTTTTCAAGGCACTGTACACTGCTGCAACTGCCCCGCTTTCTAGAAGTGTATTATTTCAAAGAACTGTGTCAAAAGTAACTGCACTTGACTTCATACTAGGCAAACACATGTATCAAATTTGGCCTGAATGCAGCCTCCATGCTGCTTCAGTGCAGTTTAAATGAAAGCTCCTGCAGATAGAATCTAAGCTACTCTGGAGACTCAACTACTTTAAATACACCGATACCCCAGCAGGGGTATCAGGAAACAGTTCTACACCCCCGATCCCCAGGATTATGCAGTGTAAAATAATGTGCCGTCATGCAACTCCCCTAGGAAATACCCACACATCATCATCCAGCCACAGACTGCTCCGTGTCCCTGCTACCTCTCAGGAGCCTCACAAACCGCCAGCCACATGGGACTTCAAACACAAGCTAAAACGGCCACCCATCTACTTCCTGCCTCCACTGAAAAAGTGTAGGCTATAGAGAGCGGCCCCCATGACCTCTAATGGCTGGTGGTGAAACTGCAGCCCAATACTCCCTTAGAGACACACACACCATAGCCTGGCCAGACCACACCGCACACTGTCCCCAATGGCCACCGGGAGAATGACCAGTCAGATTTTTCACAGAAATACTGCAAATGTAAGCTTACCGTTCCCGCTGCAGGACTCAATCATAAAACGAGTCGAACCTTCACTCATCATGCTGGGCTTTGTCATGCACAGCTTCAAGGACTCGGTCCCCGAGTATGTGGGGCCACTGCCTCAGACCTGTACAGCACCCCACCGGAAAGTGCCTTGGTCAATATTATACTGCACAGGGTTCCGTTATGCAGGGTCCAGCACCGTAATTACAGGCAAAACCCCTTGGATTCTTCTCCTTATTCAGCAAGGCTTGGGTAGCATCCATTTTGGCTAACAGCTTTGCGAATAGATCCGATTAAAGTCCCTGATTCTCTAATAGAGCCATTATGGACCTTTAGGTATGCTCCAAGAGCACATGAAACATTTCAGTGACCATCCACCTTACAGACACTGGCAAAAAAAACAAGTACTTTCTGCATAGGGGTTATATAGGGGAAGACTTCATCTCCGATTGGTTGGCCAGTGTCCATTCACCTATAGGTGGCATTTAACCCACATAGTCATGAATAGCCTGCTCTGTGTCCCATGATGTACAATAAAGAACATTGCATTTCCATGTTGTGTGTACTGTGGGAGACCAGATATAGTGAATGCAGGGTCCGGGGTTTAGTTGCCTTCACCTTCTTTGTTACATCTCAGTGCTGCAGCCTCTTCCTATCTACATGCAAGCACTTCAGTGATGACTGCATGTCATTTTACAGGGTGGGATTCCTGATGGTGCCAACAGTGAACATGCCTGCTTAAACCTTGGTTCCAATTTTGTGTGTGCACGTGTCAGGTGTAAGGCAGCCTGGTCATTTCAATGGGCTGCCCTACCCATGAGAAGTGCAAAGAAAGGTCCTGACCCTTTTTTATGTGGAACCATGAGGTTTGGTGCGCATGTTTGTTGATGTGAGGGGGCGTCATTAATAATTAATGGCACCCCCATGCATCTGATATAGAGCAGCATATTTCTAGCAATGTAAGGAAAATGCACAATTTTACATTCATAGATGTGAACCTAGCCTAAAATGTGCTGATATGGCCACTTGTTGTCACCATTGGAAGCACGTTATAGGGTGACAAATCCCAGAGTACAACTGGAAGACAGAAACACAGCATTGTCACCCAATAAATATAAAGTTCCTGAACAAACACCTTCAAGGCAGGATCACCAGGTTATATTTTAACCACCTCCCGTCTGGCCATTGTACAGAAACAGCCGGACGGTGGCAGTGCAGGGTTGGGTGGCCGTTTATAAACAGCCTCCCCGCCCCCTGCTTGTGCGCGTTCCCTGGGACACAGTGGAACACTGATTGTCGAACGGGACCTCTGTGCGAGGTCCCGATCATGTGATCACTGATTGACCAATCAGTGATCACATGCAGAGTAGTAAGCAATGACATCATTGCTTACTACGTGTGAAATCTGTGAATGATCACAGCGGTCACATGGTACAAGGCTATTCACAACAGCCTTGTACCATGTGACAAGCTGTGTCCAATCACAGCTCACACAGTAGTTCTCAATGCCTGCAAGGATGCAGCTTGAGAGAAGGAGAAATGATTGCTTTTACAGCCTTTATGGGTGTAAAAGCAATCAGTGTAAAAAAAAAAAAAAAAAAAACCTTCATCACACCCCCCCAAGTAGTACAGTGTCACCATGGTGACACTGTACTGCTAGGGTGACAGTATGTAAAAATAAATAAATATAAGAATACAATAAAAATGTAAAAAAAAAAAAGTGTTTAAAAATTATAATTTTTGGTTATAAACTAATTTGGGTTTTTTTTTTTTTTTTTTACTAAAAAGATAACAGAATACATTTTGGCCAATATGTATGATGAAATATTATTTATTTGCAAAATTTTATAAGAAAAACACTTTCTTCTAATTTTTTGGACTTTTTCATTTACATAGCAAAATAAAATAAAAATCCCAGCAGTGAATAAATACCACCAAAGTAAATCTTTATCGGTCTTATAAAAATGCTAAAAAATTCATATGGGTACAGTGTTGCATGACTGTGCAATTGTCATCAAAGTGTGATAGAGCTGAAAGCTGAAAATTGGCCTGGACAGGAAGGGGGTTAAAGTGTCCGGATTTGGTTAAAGTAAACCTCCATTCCCTAAATGACTTTACCTACCTGCACTACCCCTCTTTAAAGTAAAAGACAGTTTCTCCTGACGGTTTACATTTTAAAAAAAAAATATTTTTTTTTCTGTCACCGACCCCATTCTTACTTGGGCAAAAATGGTATGTCCCTGCAGCCTCCAATATTACCATCCTATATTTCAGGAAGCTGCAGGAGCAGGGACTCAAAGCAGCCGGTGGGTAGGCTTGGCATACGTCAGTGTGAGCTGGTTGCAAGAGCCTGGAAGAGACAGCTGACTCCTAATGACATGAGGAAAGGAAGATGACGTAGGACACGAGCTGTGGCAACTGAGCAGCAGGACAATGATTAGGCAGGCGGGTCTTGACTGTCGGTAGTTGACCATGAGGTGTCAGTGACAGCTCAGCCACAGTTCTGTAGGTGCTGATGGAGTGCACCTCAGAACAATACAATGCCCACCCAACTCATATATGTGTATTGTTGGCATAACGGTGTTATTGAGAGCTGCAGATTTAAAGCGAATCTTCACCCTATATAACTTGATCCCTCTGCTCCACCCCTCCTCTGGTCCTCCACATGCAAGTTTTTTTGAGATTGGCTCTCATAGCTATTGTGATTGGCTTTCACAGTGATCCTATGATCAGGCACCTGATCAGAAGCCTTGACCGACAGTGGTTGGTGACATCTGGGGTTAGTGTACTGTGAGAATACCGTGAGTGTGTTCTCAGCACACAGCCTCAGGCTGCTATGGATGTATATGTACAGCAAAACCCACATTTGTGTTATGTGTTCACCAAGAGAAGGGGGCTCCAAACTTTACTTTAAGGGGGCTGGAGTATGGTCAGTGGGAGTAGAAAATGCCATAGTGTGGGAGCAAACAATACCTCATAATTGGTGTCAGTGGGAGGCAAGGTACATCATCGTTGTCAGTAGATGGAATCATGCCCCATTGTTGGTGTAAGTGGGAGGAATGGTTCCCTGTATCCTTGGCATCAGTGGGAGGAATAGCTCCTTGTGTCCCTGGCGTCAGTGGGAGGAATAGCTCCTTGCGTCCCTGGTCACAGTGGGAGGAATAGCTCCTTGCGTCCCTGGTCACAGTGGGAGGAATAGCTCCTTGCGTCCCTGGTCACAGTGGGAGGAATAGCTCCTTGCGTCCCTGGTCACAGTGGGAGGAATAGCTCCTTGCGTCCCTGGTCACAGTGGGAGGAATAGCTCCTTGCGTCCCTGGTCACAGTGGGAGGAATAGCTCCTTGCGTCCCTGGTCACAGTGGGAGGAATAGCTCCTTGCGTCCCTGGTCACAGTGGGAGGAATAGCTCCTTGCGTCCCTGGTCACAGTGGGAGGAATAGCTCCTTGCGTCCCTGGTCACAGTGGGAGGAATAGCGCCTTGCGTCCCTGGTCACAGTGGGAGGAATAGCGCCTTGCGTCCCTGGTCACAGTGGGAGGAATAGCGCCTTGCGTCCCTGGTCACAGTGGGAGGAATAGCGCCTTGCGTCCCTGGTCACAGTGGGAGGAATAGCGCCTTGCGTCCCTGGTCACAGTGGGAGGAATAGCGCCTTGCATCCCTGGTGTCAGTGGGAGGAATAGCGCCTTGCATCCCTGGTGTCAGTGGGAGGAATAGTGCCTTGCATCCCTGGTGTCAGTGGGAGGAATAGTGTCTTGCATCCCTGGTGTCAGTGGGAGGAATAGTGCCTTGCATCCCTGGTGTCAGTGGGAGGAATAGTGTCTTGCATCCCTGGTGTCAGTGGGAGGAATAGTGTCTTGCATCCCTGGTGTCAGTGGGGGAGAAATAGTTCCTTGTATCGTTGGTGTCAGTGGGAGAAATAGTTCTTTGTATCGTTGGTGTCAGCGGGAGAAATAGTTCCTTGTATCGTTGGTGTCAGTGGGTGGAATGGCTCCCTGTACCGTTGAGGTCAGTGGGTGGAAAAGTGGCCCATTGTTGGTGTCAGTGGGAGGCAAAATGCCCCATTGTTGTTGTAAGTGGGAGGAATGGTTCCCTGTATCCTTGGCATCAGTGGAAGGAATAGTTCCTTGTATCCCTGGTGTCAGTGGGAGGAATAGTTCCTTGTATCCCTGGTGTCAGTGGGAGGAATAGTTCCTTGTATCCCTGGTGTCAGTGGGAGGAATAGTTCCTTGTATCCCTGGTGTCAGTGGAAGGAATAGTTCCTTGTATCCCTGGTGTCAGTGGGAGAAATAGTTCCTTGTATCCTTGGCATCACTGGGAGGAATAGTTCCTTGTATCCTTGGCGTCACTGGGAGGAATAGTTCCTTGTATCCTTGGCGTCACTGGGAGGAATAGTTCCTTGTAGTCACTGGGAGGAATAGTTCCTTGTATTGTTGGTGTCAGTGGGAGGAATAGTTCCTTGTATTGCTGGTGTCAGTGGGAGGAATAGTTCCTTGTATTGCTGGTGTCCTTGTATTGTGGTGTCAGTGGGAGGAATAGTTCCTTGTATTGCTGGTGTCAGTGGGAGGAATAGTTCCTTGTATTGCTGGTGTCAGTGGGAGGAATAGTTCCTTGTATTGCTGGTGTCAGTGGGAGGAATGGTTCCTTGTATTGTTGGTGTCAGTGGGAGGAAAAACACCCATCATTGGTGTGAGTTGAATAGTTCCTAGTATCATTGGTATCAGTGGCAGGAATTATGCCACATTGTTGGCGTAAGTGGAAGGAATAGTTCCTTGTATCACTTGTGTCAGGGGCAGGAATTATGCCTCATTGTTGGTGTAAGTGGAAGGAATAGTTCATTGTATCGCTGGTGTCAGTGGCAGGAATCGTGCCTCATTGTTAGTGTTAGCGGGAGGAATAGTTCCTTGTAATGTCAGTGGGAGGAATAGTTCCCTGGTGTTAGTGAGAGGAATAGTTCCTGGTATTGTTGGTGTCAGTGGGAGGAATAGTTCCTTGTATCCTTGGTGATAGGGAAAATAATAGTTCCTAGTATCACTGGTGTCAGTTGCAGGAATCATGCTTCATTGTTGGTGGAAAAAAGAGTTCCTAGTATCACTAGGAAGTAGAAATAATAGTTCCTAGTATTATTGGTGTCAGTTGCAGGAATAATGCCTCATTGTTGGTGGAAGTAGAAGGAATAGTTCCTAATATCATTGGTGTCAGTGGCAGGAAGTATGCCTCATTGTTGGTGGAAGTACAGGTGAAACTCAAAAAATTAGAATATCGTGCAAAAGTTCATTTATTTCAGTAATGCAACTTAAAAGGTGAAACTAATATATGAGATAGACTCATTACATGCAAAGCAAGATAGTTCAAGCCGTGATTTGTCATAATTGTGATGATTATAGCTTACAGCTCATGAAAACCCAAAATCCACAATCTCAGAAAATGAGAATATTGTGAAAAGGGGCAATATTCTAGGCTCAAAGTGTCCCACTCTAATCAGCTAATTAAGCCATAACACCTGCAAAGGGTTCCTGAGCCTTTAAATGGTCTCTCAGTCTGGTTCAGTAGGAATCACAACCATGGGAAAGACTGCTGACCTGACAGTTGTGCAGAAAACCATCATTGACACCCTCCATAAGGAGGGAAAGCCTCAAAAGGTAATTGCAAAAAAAGTTGGATGTTCCCAAAGTGCTGTATCAAAACACATTAATAGAAAGTTATGTGGAAGGGACATGTGTGGAAGAAAAAGGTGCACAAGCAGCAGGGATGACCGCAGCATGGAGAGGATTGTCAGGAAAAGGCCATTCAAAAGTGTTGGGGACTTTCACAAGGAGTGGACTGAGGCTGGAGTCAGTGCATCAAGAGCCACCACACGCAGATAGATCCTGGACATGGGCTTCAAATGTGGTATTCCTCTTGTCAAGCCGCTCCTGAACAACAAACAACGTCAGAAGCGTCTTACCTGGGCTAAAGAAAAACAGACCTGGTCTGTTGCTCAGTGGTCCAAAGTCCTCTTTTCTGATGAGAGCAACTTTTGCATCTCATTTGGAAGCCAAGGACCCAGAGTATGGAGGAAGAATGGAGAGGCACACACTGCAAGATGCTTGAAGTCCAGTGTGAAGTTTCCACAGTCTGTGTTGATTTGGGGAGCCATGTCATCTGCTGGTGTTGGTCCACTGTGCTTCATTAAGTCCAGGGTCAACGCAGCCGTCTACCAAGAGATTTTGGAGCACTTCATGCTTCCTTCCACAGACGAGCTTTATGGGGATGCTGACTTCATTTTCCAGCAGGACTTGGCACCTGCCCACACTGCCAAAAGCACCAAAACCTGGTTCAATGACCGTGGGATTACTGTGCTTGATTGGCCAGCAAACTCGCCTGACCTGAACCCC